TCCTCGGCCTCGGACCACGTCCGCGAAGGCCGGAGAGCCTACGATGGACCGGGACGTTATGGCCACTAGCCCGTCCAAGTCCCCCACCCATTCGTCCCCAGACGGGACCCGGTAGGGCTCAGCCACTATCGCCACATGTATTTTCCACTCCGCCATGCTCTGGAACAGGAGGTCCTGAGCTCTGGCGGAGTGGTTGATATTGGCTTGGAGGAGGTTTAGGGCCATTATCCAATGGCCATTGGAACCTCCTCAGCCACCGGCGCCGCCGCCTGATGTGGTAGGACCGGGGACTGCCTGGCCGTCTGGCTCGGGCCGTCCCCTCCTGCCTTCTTGGTCCTCCTACCTTTGGGTGGGGGGACACACGCCTTGCTCCCGGCACGGTGTTCCGCAGGGGCACCGGCCGCGGCGCAGACGATGCAGTGAGGCACCGCCGTGCATCCGCGGGCCTTGTGCCCTGGTTGACCGCACCGGAAGCACACCCCGGAGCGATCCACCCCCGCCTGGCACTGGCTGGACACATGACCTGGAGCCAGGCACCTGTAACACACAGAGGGTCGGGGATCCATGAGCCTTGCCTGGGCGGACACCCACCCAACCAGCAGACGACCGTCGGTCGCGACTTTCTTCGCCGCCGCGACGGGACACTGGACCACGACTGATCCCAGTCCGTCGCGGCCGGTCGACATCGCCCCCGCTCTCAGCTGGTCAGCTGGGCACCCGCCCGCTGCAGCAACTGCGGTGACCACCTCGGCAGCGGTGGTGGCGTCGTCCAACCCCGCCACCCGTAAGGCCACCGTCTTCACGGGCCGGGCGACGCGGACGACGCCCCCATCGAGGACCTCCCGCAGCCTCTGGGCCAGGGAGTCCGCCTTCTCGCCACTGGAGGCGCCCGGGAACTCAAACACGCGTCCCCCGTTGGCGGCCTTCCGAAGGCGAACTCCCTGGGCTCCAAAGTCGGCTGGATTGATCCTCGCCTTTGCCGAGGCGATGACGCTGGCGTATGTGACCCCGCTCTC